GAGTTTTTATTTAGTTTTAGGAAGAAAAGTTTCAGTGATGGGTTTTTGGTTCTGTGTTACATAAAATATTAATAAATATTTAAATATGTTTTTTATTTATTATTATTATTTTTTTTGCTTATTTGATTTGTGGGATTTCTTGTAATTGTGCATTTTATTGTGGTTATTGGCAGTTACTACAGTTGATTCTGGTAGCAAAGCATTGGAATTTCTTGGGTGGCATAGAGATGAAAGGAGCAACTCTAGTGGAACCTCTGTTTCTCCAAAAACCCATCAGGTAATAATAACAAGTGATGTTAATTTTTTTATTTATTAATATTTTTCTCAAAGTTCTGGTTTGTTTAAAGATTTAATTTTTTTCCTTTTATTAGGAATTTTTTATTCCCTTTCACCTGCCTGAAAATTCAATATGTTTCATTTTTTTTTAAAACAGGAAGTGGAAGTCAACCTTGTAATAACAGATTATTGTATGCCTGGGATGACAGGCTATGATTTGCTCAAGAAAATGAAGGTATAATAATAATAATAATAATAATAATAATAATAACTAAGAAGAAGAAGAAGGTATCATTACACATACTGCACTTGTGTGTATAGGATGAAATTAATCTACCAATTTTTAGAATACCAACTTTGAGAGAATAGATAAAATAAAAAGAAAAAGAATAAGATATTTTTTCACAATATTAATTTCCATCTATGGAAAAAATGATTTTGTTTATCTAAGAAAAACTTACAATCCAAGTTATGGCATATTATTCCCATGGAAAATTGAACTGTCCCCTCAAAAAAAAGTTCAGTCACATGTGGTACTTTTCTTGCTAGGCAAAATCTTGCCAAAATCTAGCATTTACAAATCTCACATGCTGTGGACATTATAAGCCATACAAAATTTGGAAAAAAAGTTAGTAAATATTTCAATATTCATGCATCTACCTACAAAACATCATCTTTAATACATTATTTGTTGTCTAACTTTTGTAAATTGACAGGAATCTTCATCTCTGAAAAATATTCCTGTGGTTATTGTGTCCTCTGAGAATGTGCCATCAAGGATCACCAGGTAATTGAATTATACATTAAAATTTTGCATTTTTTACTCATTTTAGTTCACATTTTTCCTTGTAAAAAATAAGTTTTTAGTTCAAGAATTCCAATATTATACTACACTCTACCTTTTCATGAATTAACCCCATCTTTTATAACAACAATACATATATCATGAAATAGTAAGACTAGTGTTAGGCATGTCTCACGTTAGACAATCGTACTTTTAAATTTAAATATCATACTACTAAAAAAAACTAGTATGACATTGTATAATAAAAATATGCATCTTTATTCAAAATGTACGACGAGTCGATCCGCCTAACTGCTAGGCTGACTCACACAAGAATTTGTGATTATAAAATGTCATAATTTTGTTCATGTCACCTTATAGCAATATTAGACTTGAGGAGTTAAATGTAATTTTAATAGGTTTTGGTAATTAAAACATTTTATTTATTTATTTATGTGCAGATGCTTGGAAGAAGGGGCAGAGGAATTTTTTCTGAAGCCAATGAAGTTGACAGATGTGAACAAATTGTGGCCCTATATGTTGAGAACCAAAGGCCAAAATAATGTGCTAAAGCCTGAAAACATGGAAAAGCAAGAAAGCAATCAAGAAGATGAAATCACACCAATACCAATACAAATCCAATTACAGACAGCACAATCTTTGCAACAACAACAGTTGGAGCAAACTCCACAAACAAATGATGGTGATAATAATAAAAATAATAATGTTGCAAATAACAAAAGGAAGTCCATTGATGATGGGCTCTCAACAGACACCCCAAGGCCCAGATACAATGGGCTCACTGTAGTGTTCAATTAATTATGTATGCATAGTCTTTTTTTTTTTTAGTATTTTCCTATTGTAATCTTATTTCTTTCTTTTTTATTTTTCTTTTGTTCTTCTTTCTTTTTTATTGGCTATTTTCTAATGTTTTTAGTTACATATAGGAGCAAAAAGTGGGTGTCAT